TTTTTTTTTAAGTACGAATTCACAATTTGGTTTCTACAAGCATCTCCTGCTTCGACAAGGTATCTATCACAGGGGTCACCGAGATGAGAGTGGGAGGATAATCGAAAAAAGACTTCCACTCCTGCAGGCTGCAATGCATCATCAATTCCCTGTTTGTTTCTGCCTCATGTTGCGCCAGTTTTGTCGTGGAGCTATTCTCTCTTTTCAAAAGGTTCCCTTGCACGTTGTGGGGACCAATTACCGGCCATTTAGTTTCCTTTATCTTTTTATTTTCTTACATTTTTATATAATTTATTTTATTTTATTAATTACACAAAAATGGTGGCGGCTAAACACAGATAACTCGTTTTATTTGAGGGCATAAATTTTTACTACTTCTGTGAATCCCTTTTCGCCATCAAAATTTGGCCAAAAGACTGAGTCCTCAAATTATATGGAACGTGACAAAAAGACCCCAAATTGAATTTTTGTAATTAACTAATCATTTTAATGTTGATAATTTAAACCCACAAATTAATCCTAGTGCTTCCTAATCACACACACATGAGGGATTGATTAATAACAAGAAAAAACTATAAGGGTGTGTCTGGTTGGGAAAAGGTTTTTTTTTTTTTAATAACTTAGAAAAGTTTAAAGACATTTTATTATTTTTACACCTCAATAATATAACAAATAAAGGATAAGATTCTTATTTTTAAACTTTATTTTTCTTAATATAATTCTCAATAAATAATATTTTCTTCCCATGTATTTTCACCTCAACTTCCTAAGACAAGATTAGTTTTCTTTAAACTTTCTCTACATCAATTTTCTAACAAACATGAAAAAGTTTACAATTTAGAAAAATTTTAACAAATTTTCATTACAAAACTTCTCAACTTTATGTACAATACATTCTCCACTTGTCTAGTAAAAACTTTCTCACTAAAGTTAGCCCCTATCCAAACAAGTCATAAGGGTGAAATTAAGAAAATCGTAAAGTTCAAGGGCAAATTTCACATTTGTAGATTTTATTAACCTTCCAAACTTGTGAAAACAGAAAAATAAATGAATTACCAAGATACTATTCCATTTTCGGCAAGTTAAAATAAAAAAATAAATTTTTTAAAAATGAAAAAAGAAAAGAAAAGAAAAAGGTAGAAAGGGGAAGGAATAATGCAAAGGGGTGGTGTTATTGCCACAGCCACTAATGTTAATACCACAGCTTTTTTTAGTTATTTGACTATTATACCCTTCATTTGAATCCAACTTGCAGCAGTCACCACCTTCTCCGCGTGGGTTAATGGTCAATTAATTTAAAAAGCTGTGGTATTAACCTTTGAAGCTGTGGCAATAACACCACCCAATGCAAAGCTTGAAGCATCTCATTATTGGAAAAAGCATTAATGACAGGGTTGCTTATATTTCCCACTCTCCTTGCTTTTTGTGGGTGTGGTTGAGGGCTCAAAATCTGATCTGCTGATATTTGCTTCTTCTTCACCTTGAATCAGTTTCTGGGTCTGATTTCAGTTGGGGTATCCGCTTGAAATTTCATTTCTTGCGTTCAAATCCTTCAAAATCAAGGTGCTGAGTGTTGATTCTTCATTTTGGGTTTGATAACTGCATATTGTGTGGAATTCAGGTTAGCTGTGTCTTTGATTGATCATAAAAAAATGGGTCATTTTCAATTTGGCTGAGGGTGAAGGGGAGGATTCAATTTGGTTTCCTTTGGTGGCTTTATTTACTTATTATTTTTTTTGTAATCTTTTATTTTTTAGTGAAGATATGTGCTTGATGGTGGAGATGAGTCAGTAATTTGCAAGTTTGAAATTATCAACACAAGTGGGTGTTTGTTGATCTTCAGAGTCATCGATTTTTGGTTCTGCATATGATCATGGAGAAACAGAGCAGTTTCCGTGCACCTAGAATGGAGAAACAGATTAGTTTTCAAGGTATAAAGATAGAAAATCAACCCAGCACGCGGGGAGTGATGGAAAAACAGCAGAGTTTTAAGCAGCCGAGTAGTCGAGGAATGATGGAAACGCAGCGAAGTTTTAAGAAGCCAGCTCTCAGGGTGATGGAGAAGCAGAGGAGCTTTCGTGTAGTGATGGAGAGGCAGCTGAGCTTCATTGGATCTAGTGAGAGGAGGAAAAACAGGGATTCACCTGGAAAGAGAGGTGACTTGCCGCTTCATTTGGCAGCACGAGCAGGGAATCAGAGTAGAGTACGAGAGATTCTTCAGAATTGTAGTGGTAATGATGCTAAGGAACTTTTGTCAAAGCAAAACCAAGAGGGGGAGACTCCTCTTTATGTTGCAGCCGAGAATGGGCATGCTATGGTAATTGAAGAGTTGGTGACATATATGGACCTTGAGACTGCATCAATCCCAGCAAGGAATGGCTTTGATGCATTCCATGTTGCAGCAAGGCAGGGTCATGTCGGTAAGGATTCATATCATTTCACATATTGCATATCTTGCTGATAAAATTGTTCAGTCAGTTCTCTACTTTTTTATTTGGTGAGAGGGATAAAAGTGAACATAGTGAAGACCCAAAACATGAACTTTGGGACAATTTGCAGTGCTATTTTTGGCATTCCAGTTCTTGCAAAGTTCTGTCTGTTAAAATTACAATACTCTTTTTTTTTTTTGGGTCTAATTTGCTCTCTCCCACATGTTCTTGCAGATGTGTTGAATGAACTTTTGCAGTTATCCCCCAACTTGGTCATGACCACAGATTTATCAGGTACAACTGCCTTACACACTGCTGCTGCACAAGGGCATATAGAAGTAGTCAATCTTCTTTTAGAAACAGATTCAAATTTGGCGAAGATAGCTAGGAACAATGGTAAAACTGCCCTTCATTCAGCAGCAAGGATGGGACGCTTGGAAGTAGTGAAATCCTTGCTTAGCAAGGATCCAAGCACTGCCTTTAGGAAAGATAGAAAGGGCCAAACTGCATTACATATGGCTGTGAAAGGTCAACAGGAAGAGATGGTGCTGGAATTGGTTAAACCTGACCTCTCGATTTTGAACTTGGAAGACAATAAGGGAAATACTGCATTGCACATCGCTACAAAGAAGGGCCGTATTCAGGTGCTTTTCCTATCCTTCCTTTTTCTTTTTTTTTTTTTAATTTCTTTTTCTTTTTTCTTTTTTCATTTTTCTCTTGCATATATTTTTTAGTGATAAATATGATAAATGGCACACATTGATAGTGTATTTTCTTTCCTGTTTTGCAATTATCAGGTATAATATCACAAGCTGAATGTTTAACTTAGTATTATATTCCTACCAATAATTTTAAGAATTAGCATAATGTTTAATATCTGCTAAAGCTTACTCAATTCCTTGCACTAACTTAGCATCTCTCAACTTTTGTCCACATCTCCCCCATCTTGGGCCCAAACTAAAGATAAAAAGAAGAAAGAGGGCAGAAAGGGAGAAAGAATCTGATGATTAGAAGTTAATTTGAATGGTTGCTGCCTTTTTGCATTGGGGTCAAAAGACTGGCAACTAACTGTTATGCTAACTTTACCAACTTAAAAAGATGGTTGGTAGGGTAATATAGCACACTCAGGCTTCAATTTTTATTTGAACTAGTTCTGGTTTTGAAGAAAGGCCTTGTTTAGTACGCAATATCTTTCCCTGTTAAAAGCAACAAGGTAATGCAATCTTACTTTGTTTTAACTTTGCAATATGGAATTGGAATATTTGAAGTTTGATGTTCTTTTCTTTGTTCATATAATTTGTATTAAGATTTTGATTCATTTTGATTGCAGATGGTTAGTTGCTTGTTATTACTTCAGGGTATTGATGTCAATGCAGTAAACAAGGCTGGAGAAAGTCCACTTGACATAGCAGAAAAATTTGGAACCTCTGAAATTGTTGCCATCTTAAAGGAAGCAAAAGCATGCAATTCAAAAGACCATGGAAAGCCAACAAATCCAGCAAAACAACTTAAGCAGACTGTCAGTGACATAAAACATGATGTCCAGAGCCAACTCCAACAAACCCGTCAAACTGGTTTCAGGGTCCATAAGATTGCGAAGAGACTTAAGAAGTTGCACATTAGTGGCCTGAACAATGCTATAAACTCTGCAACAGTTGTTGCTGTTCTCATTGCTACTGTTGCTTTTGCTGCCATCTTCACCCCTCCAGGACAGTTTGTTGAGGATAAAACACAACAAGGGGCTACACTTGGGCAGGCTCACATAGCTAACAATGCTGCATTCCTTGTCTTCATTATTTTCGACAGCCTTGCATTATTCATCTCCCTGGCTGTTGTCGTTGTTCAGACATCAGTAGTGGTGATTGAACAGAAGGCAAAGAGGCAGCTTGTCTTTGTGATTAACAAGCTTATGTGGCTGGCTTGTCTTTTCATTTCAGTTGCATTTATTTCCCTGACGTATGTGGTGGTTGGAAAGGATTCTCAATGGCTTGCTGTGTTTGCAACTCTTATTGGTGGCTCTATCATGCTAACTACAATTGGTGCGATGTTTTATTTTGTCATTCGACATAGAATAGAGGAGACTAAGTTAAGGAATATAAGGAAAGCTGAGAGTCGTTCCCGTTCTTTCTCTATGTCTGTGGTTTCAGATTCGGAGTTTTTGAATGGTGAATTCAAGAGGCTATATGCACTTTAAGACTGGGAGAAACTGACCAAGTGTAGAGTGGGCACGTGCTATGTAATATAACCATAAGATCTCACATGTTCTTGACTGAGGTGTTCAATAATAAAGTGAGCACGAAGGTATGAAACTAGTTATTGGGTTGAGCAATTGAAAGGGAGATGAATTCAGATTACCTATCTACTTCACTTGAAAGCTTCTTTTCAGGGGAAACTTGGTTTTCCCTTTCTTGGTTTCAAAGTTGCAATGGACTGAGGTCAGAATCTGAATTCAATTTTTGTTAGTTTTGAAGTTGCTATGAACTCAGGTCACAATCTGAATTCGATTTTCATATTGGCAAAGGATTTGGCTGAAGCTCAAGAATTGTTGAAAACGACCATGTATCCCAATCTCTGGTTTCAACTTCATTTGTAATCCATCTTGTGTGGAAATATGGAGTTGTAACAACATATGATGTTCATAAATAATTTGAAGAGCCTTTATTAATTGTGGTTTCTGTTCCTCATGTTAGTTCCCTTCAAGTGACACATCTAAATCTAACATATGAAGTTAAAGCACATACAGGAGATACAGAGTTAAAAGAGTTGAATTTGAAAGAATTCCCTATATGGAGATTTACATTTATTATTCCTACACACAAGTGAAAGCAGAAAGAATTAGCTCCCAGCTGGGAAAAAATGTCCAAAGTATCTTGGACACTAAGAAACATGTCATTTCTTAGAAAACCAACCAGCTTATTATTGCTGCTGGATTAACATTCCCTTCTTACAATAGTCAATAAGTAATTTCTCCAATAATACTACAATCTGCTTAAAAACTAGAATGCTCTGACTCAAAAGGATCAAGTGTGCTAAACATAAAGATACGAACATAAACAGATCAAACCTGTCCAGTTAAGACGTCAAATGGTGGCCGTTCTCCTCTAGTATTTACATCCTCACATTGACTGGGTTTTTGTCTATGTAGGGAACTGAATTCGTCAGCTATGCTATCAGTCCCCATCTCATACAAGTACTGCATCTGTGTACTGCTCTCTTGGCTATTGGTCCTCCATTAGCTTTAAGGGTTACGTGAGTTAATGGCATCATCAGCTGCATCTGATTCAGCTCTATTGAAGGAACCTCCACTGCCTTTCTTAGAGCCAGATTTTGAGCCAAGGCGGACAGTCTTGGATGAGAAGCAGTGGCAGACACGGATCCGATGCCTTCTCGTCTCAGTTGAGGTACTGCTCCGGACAATCACAGTCAGAAGTGCCTCCTTGTCCCTGGTGTCTTCACACCACCAGTTCTGGGGGATGCCATCAACAAGATCTTCCAGGGTGTGGAATTCTTCATGATGTACTGAAACCTCCACTGAACATTCAGGTTTGATTATGCCAGCTGCAGGGGTAACCTGAATTCAACAGAAGCAAGAAAACAAATTATTCTCTTGGTTACCAAACAGATGAAAAGCGAAGCACAAGAGCAACTACCTCAAGCCATCTTGGGAAGCCAAAGGAGCCTCTGGGATGATACTCTGCCGGTTCTCCATCATCTACAGTGGACTGACCTTCACAGATAATCTTGAATATAGCTTTATTCTTGACACATTTGTTGGTGATTTGCAGAATTGAAGTGTCCTGGTTCTGAAGAACAATGCTGTTGGTGCTAACAATGGTTTCTGGGACACAACGTAATTCTTCAAGAAAGGACCTGACTATCTCATTAGATTGAATGATATCTCCAAATACCTTTCTCCGATATGACCTATCAACATGTGCAATCTTAACATGTAATTTACAGCGAACAGGTTTGTGATCACTCTCAGTCACATCCATGCAAGCCTCATACCTGATTAAATACAGAAACCAGATTTTAGAACATGGAACATTGAAAAGAGGGACCAGATATATACATACATATATATATATATATATATATATATATTCCATGAAACATACAGCAAAATTGATGAGACTACAGGGCATTGTAAGCTGCAGTCATTCCCTTCTCCTGATCTATTATCCCGATATATTACTCTGTCACACCATGCAGGAATTCGCTTCTTTTCCCCAGAGTCATAGCCTTGAAAACAATAAAATAAAAAAATAATAATAATAAACTGGAAACACCCTGTTTCAGAGACAGTTAAAACACTTTTTTTAGCATGTCAGTGATACCTGCGAATCCGGGTCGATGCCTTTCGAACTTGTATGTAGGAGGGAATCGTATGAGAGCCTCGCGCATTCCTTGGAAAACCTTGCCAGCTTTCATCTCAGCACGGAGCTGATCTTTTTCTCTAAGCCAATCAAAGCACCTTTGCGACACAAAGTCCCTTGCTTCATCATAGGATATACCAAAAAGCCGGTAGTTAAAATCTCCAAAGAATATGACCATATCTGCATCAGCCAGTTCAGGCTTAGCTTCCTTCTGCTCTTCAGAAGAGTTGCCTCCAGAGGCCTGTGGAGAGTACCATACATCAATGTAAAAAGAGATAACAATAAATTTCTACTCCAGGTTGTGCTTATTCCCACAGCAGCTTTTGCTGCTTCAACTTATTCCTCTTTTGTAGCAGTTGTTGACTTCTTGTTGTTTCAACAATGCAAAAGCTTCACAAGGAAGTAGCAAAAGGTGCTGTGAAAGTAGCTCTCTCCTTTGAACATGCATCGATGAAAAAGAGTACGTACATTTGGAACCCGAACCGTATGAGAAGCAGTTGAGACGCCAGCTGCAAGACAAAGTAGGAGTGGCAAGCCAGAAGAATAAAGCAGCCGAAGTAAATATGAGGACAAGGCAAGAGAGCAACACAAAAACAGGAAGCGCACCATACCAGCTGCATTGTTGAGTCCAGTTGATGATCTGGTGAAGGACATGTTTTTATATATGTGATCAAAGTCTGCATTTCGACGATTCACTGCCTCCAAATGTGCTGCTAAATGACAGTTCACAACACACATTATCCTATCATACACTCTGATTCTCAATCCTACACCTCCCTGTGAACATTCATCATTGCAAATTGAAAAAGAGCATATAAAAATTGAAATTTAGAGGATTTATGTACATTATGCAGTTAGACAGACCTTATTACCAATTGCTCGGCCAAAGCCACAAGGAACTGCTCCAGCATCAATATCTCCGACATGCATTCTGATACTTCTTCTTACCCTAATGGACATAATGACTCATCAGAGATAAATTTAAAGTTTTACCCAAAACTAAAAGAAAACATTCGCAGTTTTGTTAGTTACCAAAGAGATACAAGCAATCCTGCCAATTGTCTAGAACCCAAGCGTTCAAATGTAGTGTTTTCTTCTAGGGCTCTCCCTATTGCGTCAAGCCAGCAGTTCCCAATAGAACTCCCTTCAAGCCCTACCTACATTTGGAATGTAAGCGGTAAGGGAAAAATGGTTTACACCAACATTCAACAATTACTATTGCTACATAATGAAACACACATTGAAATAGATGTTGCAATAATCTTACAGTTTCTTTAGCAGCTGACATTGCAAGAAAACCAGCACCCATATCTACTTCTTGCAACCCAACAGCAACAATACCGACATCTGAAGAAACAGAACCCAACCAAGACATGAGTGCTTCATGTAATGGTCTTCCTTGACCAACATTCCATGTCCCTATCAGAATTCTGATGTTGTCTCTTTTTGTGTAAGTGGATTCCTTTGCTGCTAGTTCTGCTCGCAATGCAGGATCAAGTGGTCCTGGAGAGGAGGTGTTCCATGCTCGTATACCACCGTGAGTGGCCAAGCTGAAGACATGACCGTTTCCAACAGCCATCTTTATAACTGGACCGTTGTGAGCAACCCATCCTGCAATTGGATTTCCCTCGAGATTTATCACATGGACCATACCACTCACATAGCCGATGTATATTCGTGTCCCAAAAGTGCAGAGGCACTGGATGGCACGGGCATGCGGATTAACATCTAGCATCCGGTTTCCATTTCCATCCCACTGCACAAGCATTCCATTTGTACATCCACTCCAGATCATCCCGTTAGCTGTAAGAATGAGGGCCTCTATTTTCTTGGCATTGTCATCAACAAAAGCACCTGCTCCTCTGGTTGCAACTCGCCGGACCACATCAGCTGCTCCCATAATGGCGTTCCGCGAACGTTGCAGAAAGCCATGTTTCTCCTTTTTTGACGAGGAAACAAATTTCACCTTCATTTCGTCTTCGACAGGTTGGTCTTGTGAGGATTGTGTGTCTACGCGATTTTCAATCTGCCCTTCAACGTTGAATACTTTCAGAAGCTCCTTAGTACGAGCATCCCTACAACATATAAAATTATCCCACAATGACTCCCTTAAATTTGACTGATTCAGAGTTTCAACTCCAAGGAAAGCAGACTGATTCAGAGTTTCAACTCCAAGGAAAGCAGGAAATTTGAGGTTTCAAGTTCAAACTAGGCACAAGAAGCAACCTTCGAAACAAAAATCTAGAAAACTTGAATAGGGCCTTTATATTAACCTCAGAGAGTGTTAGAAATAAAACATACCACAAGGAGAAGTGTAGCGGCTGAGCACACCAAACCTTAGCTCTGATGTGGTCAGATAACAAGCACTTGATGTCTGCAGAAGATATGCTACAGTTACCATTCACAGTAACTTGGCTTCTAAGATCAATGGCCGACCTCTCTACTAACAGAGAAGCCATGTGCTTTTCCTCTGGTCTAAGAGAAAGGGATTTCTCAATGGACTCCCATGGCCAAATCTTAATGACCCCCCCTTCACCTCCTGACCACAAATCACCTGCATCAAAACAACATTACGTCTAAAAAGTTAGTAATTCACATCACTTGTTGGAAACTTTGAATATGAATGGATGATCAAAGAAGGCATACCATAGGAGCTCATGATAATAGAAGTAACAGCACTGCGATGTGCCTGCCATGACAAGCCCTCCTTGAAAGGAGAATCATCATCAACAGGCTGATCCATCTTCCATGACCTGATTTTACCATCCTTATGTCCACTCCAAACAAGCCTATTCCCATTATCCACCAACAAACATAATGTGGGAGACGTGTTTACTGACTCATGAAATGGCGCTGCATCCTCATCACCTCTCCTTGCCTTTCCCTGGAGCCCAGGCTCAAATGAATCCTCGAATCTCCAATATCTGATTCCATTCTCCTGCCCTGCCCACAGTTGCGTCTCTGTACAAACAATGTTCCTCAGAAACTTCCCCACCTGAGTCTCCCTGAGTGGATGCGGCCTCAATTCAAGGCACGGTGGACGTCCAGGATGCACAGCAGCACGAACAGGTACCTTGAAAATCCCCGCACCCGCGCCGGCCCCTACAAACTCCTGCAGCGGCTGGCATTGCCGAACATCCTCTGTTCCATCATCCATTAAGAGGGACTGATCAAGCCTGTAAGAAGCCAAGTAATCTTCGCCACCACCGTGGTTGATAGAGTTAGTGGTGGCAATGCTAGAGGAGCGATTGAAGAACTCATCGTCAGAAAGATCACGGTCTACAGGCCTGGGGATATCGTCGAGGCTGTGCTTGCGACCCTGGTGGCGTTTCTCGCCAGGGTTACCGCGGAGCTGCTGGCTGTAGGAATGATTAACCCTGTGCGGTTGTGGAACAGGACTTAAACCCGCAAGCGCTTCCCTGTCCTCCACCTCTTTATGACGCTCCGCCATGAAAGGAAAGAAGAAGGATCAAAAGAGAGAAGTAGAGGAAGAATGAGAGATAGAAAAAGGGAAATGGGAAACAGAGAGCGAGAGAAAAATGGTTTTGGTGAGAGAATACCGCAGGTTGGATTGAGAGAGCGGAGAAGAAGGCGGGACGTACTCAGAGTTCATGGACAAGGATAACAACACGTACCACAATTCCCCATATTATTGGACCTTGAATAATTAATTTCTTTCTCTCTTTTTTTTTTTTCACATTTTATCTTTCCATAATGTTATTTTATAATTCAAATTATACAACTAAAATAGATGAATAAGGAATGTTCCAAAAAAGAAAAAAAAATTGAATAAAAAGAATACCCTTCTAACCTAATAATCATTTTACTCTTGTAAATAATTTTTCATATTAATAGAGTCTCATCTCTAATATTAAAAAAAATTAATGGAATAAAAAACAATTGATATTAAGAATCTTCTTCTATTTAATGAGTTTTATTTTATAATATAATATAATCCAACCTACAAATCCAACATCAGGCAAGAGCACCAGGCTGAAGCACAAGGCTGAAGATTTTCAAAGACTGATTACTCAAATATAATTACAAGTTCGAATGTTGTTAGGGGTAAAAAATAGGAATGCACCATCAATGTACAGACGATCTTTATAATAAATTATCATTTTTTTCCCTTTTTAGAGGCAAATTAGTCTTTCATGCGCTGAAGAAAAACTAGTAATAATATAGTACTCTTGGCTCAGTTGTATCACAGAAGTAATGAAATGGTGGTGAAGAGCCGGAAATGTACAAAGTCAGGATGTGTGGATCATCTGCTGCTCGGTGTTTATAGCTTCTTTCTGCAAGACTACCTACAATGCAGCATCACAAACCCTGCAAAACAACAGAAGCCGCTTTTCAGGTATGTAATATTTGTGATCATACTGATCTCTAAGTGAAGCCTGAATGAATAAGAGGATGAAGACGGAGAAGAACCTCTGTAAACTTCTGAGGTTGAAGCATTGGTCAGCTGTCATCATCATCAGAGAAGTTGCCATCACTATATTGCTCATATATCTGGTATTCTCCATCGCTGGTTTCTGCATCTTGTATTTTATTAATAGCAGCAGCAGAAGATGGAAAGCTACCAAAGAGCTCTTGCAAGTATGTTCTCGAGTTGATTTCAATATCCAGATCTAAGCAGTATATGGGAAATCTCAAGCAGGCAAAGAACATATAGATGGGCATAAAGTTTACAGAAATACATAGCTGCATAGCCAATGCGTGTTTTTCTGCATGAAAACGTATACAGACATGTCTGTTTTTGTGCACTCTTACATGAATCTATTAGCTGTTGTACTTGGTTTTTGATGCAAAAAATATAACCTGATGGAAGTTAAGAATCACCTGCTAAGTATGGATCTTCCCATATACCGACCACTAAAAAATATGGTGAGAATTAGCACATTCTTTCTACTTTCACTTGCGATCTATAGATCAAATCCCAATGGCTCCCTCAAACGACCACAAAAACTGAAATTTTCCTTACGATCAACAGTAAGGCTGAGGTCACTAATTAAAAATCTTCTCGCGGGAAGAGAAAAGGCAAGGTAAATGAAAAGCAATTAGTTTATCTCAGGCCTATTTACCTACAAGAATTCCTCTATATAGCTAAAGAAGAAACAATCACTACCAGAAGTGATCTTACAAACTTCCAATTATTTTCCTAAACTAAGATAGGTAGCAATACTCTTGATGCATTGGGAAATAGGATTTGATCTACCAGGGTTCAATAGAATCAGCTTTTACATTGGAAGATAGCCCTTGAATTCTTCCTACAACAAGTTTGAGAGATTTGCTAGAGACTAAGTATGCTTACTACTTTTAAGATCCAAGTTTTATGAAAAAGTATGTATAAGTATAATTAAAGGATACATGAATCACGTTGCAGAGGTCCTTCATTATCCTCACCAGCCTGTAAGCAAGAAAACTAGACATAAACAGAGGAAAACAGACATGCTGAAAACAATATTTATATGCATAATCTGTTGCAAGAATGTGAAATGAAGGAGACAAGGTTTTACCAAATTAAGGGTTCCATATGCATCCAATTCCTCCTCCTCCTCCTCAGCCTCAATTTCCTCTTCCTCATCATCAATACTTTTTCTCATATCTTTATCTTCATTACCTGTAAATTCTGTGAATGGAGATTTAAAAAAAAAAAAAATTAGCTAAATATACAATTAGGTGTGAATAAGCCATCAAATACATGAATAAAACTTTAACCTTCTAACAACTTGTTAAACCAATAGAGAATGACGAGGACAACAAATGAATAAAACAATGAGGATTGTAAATTTGGACCTTTACTATTTTCCTGATGCTCATTTTGGTCAGGGTTCACTGCATCCTTGTAAATGCACGTTCTCTTTGACTTTTCAAAATCATTGGAATAATTCTTCAATATTTTTTCTGCACCTGGTTTGGGAAATAGTGATAGGAACCTAACTGCTACCCGGAGTCTCAAGCAATCAAGCACATTCTCTGAGAACCATCCTGTTTTAGACTGCAAGCATTGGACATGCACAATGGGCCATAAAATGCTTGTTTACAAAATTTAAGTGGGAAAGAATTACCTAAAAGGGCTAGCATGTAACACTAAATACTCAATAGAAGAACACTTTCTCAGTACTCTAATGCTAAGTAAATTCAGAGCCAGCTTATCCTTTGTGCCATAAAGAATTCATAACAAGATGCACAATTCACAGTTGAATGTATTATCACTAATACTAAGAGTGATCAGTTAAATCTATGTGAAAAAGCATTAGAAAATGTGAATCAAAATCAAGATTGTTTACTTATACTTAAGAAGCATGAATGTACATCTATTATTTTAGAAGAAGAGCATGAATGGACATCACCCAAAGAGAAACTTAAATTGCCAAAAAATGAAAATTAATAATGATGATGATGGATAAAAATACCATGCATCCTCCCCCAAGGGGAAAAGTTAAAGAAGAAGAAAAAAAAAAACCTGTAAATCATCAAGGGCCAAAATGAATTAATACTCCATGTGCAAAACTTAAGAGGAAATACTCACATTGCATGTTGGTTGCTTTGTAGGCTTTCTTATCTCTTCTTGGATATAATCATCAGTCAGTTCAAACAGCTGAAAAAATGTCTGGCACTTGAAAGGAAATACTTGAAATGAACACAAATCCCCCCACCTAGGCTTCAATCTGTGTACAGAAAATCAGAAAAAGCCATGATAAATCTCAACCATTGAAAGTAGAGGGATGAATGGTCAAGATTTTGTTAAAGTGTAATGTGTAAGACTTGTGTGTAAATGGATCCCTCCTCATATTAGTCATATATATATATATATATATATATATTGTTAAAATGAGAATACACATCCTAAAGTTGTACCATAAAGGTGTATAAACACGATGAAAAAGAAGTGAACTGAATGAGACAGTAAGAGTATAATGCAACACAGAATCATAGAAAATTAGTAATCGATTAATTCATATGTCTCATCTCTGCAATAAAACAAGCCTAAGAAAGCCTTCTTATCATCTTCTAAGGTTCAGATAAAAACATTTCTTTTTCCAATTGACAAAGAAAGTAAGTGCTTAGCTATTACATACAGGTTAACTGGTAAATGCATTTTATCATGATTTAGTTTATGCTCATCAAGAACTCTAGGAGGTCCTTTATTGGCCTTCACAACTCCAATCTTTCACTGTTTTTGAGCCTCTTTTCTCCTAATCTTCTACAAGAATAGAGCTCCTTTCTTATAAATAATAGTAAAAAACCTAACAGAGGTTTCAACTCACATGGCTGTTGAAGATCGGGAATGAGTATGAAAGAGAGAAGAGAAGAGTCAAGAATAATAGTGGAACACAATGAAATGAAAGCTGTAATTAATACTTGAAATTTGTTTTCTATGGGACTTTAGACATCATATCAGTGAGAGTAATTTTAATCTGAAGAATAGATGACTTAATGACGTGCAGTGCATCTTCAAATTCAATTCTTACATCTCAAAATCTCTACAGAGAGAAAAGATAGCAGAAACAACTTACTCTTTATCTGTGTTAGTATCACAATAACTCCTTAATTCGTCAGGTATGCGAAAGTCCGTTTTTTGATATCTGCTTAAACAAATAATGAAAACAACAAACATCAGAAAAGGCTCCAACAACTTGTTTTCATATTCCCTTAAAGAATTTACATTAAAATGCCAGATACTGAATGGGTCAAGAGAATTCTCACATGCGAGAATTGGGATCTTTGCGAGGATCATATCCTCTCCTGATCCAGAACCTGAGAAATGGTCCTTTTGAGAAGTAGTAAGCAACACCAAGTAGAAGCCTGAAAAGTCACAAGTCACCACTTTAACATTATTCCAAGATGTCAAATCTGTCCAAATGCCAGGAAATATTATAATAAAGTGACATCAGCAGGTCTAAGAAAGAATAACTAATAGAATTGGAAGGTTCCAAGCAAGACCTTTTAAGCATCAGATTGCTAAATTTGAGACCTTTATCATGCAAGTGTTCAGCTACTGATTCCTTGGGCCATATTGGTCGCTCATCAAAAAGCTTAGAAACAGCCATCTGTGACTCCCAGAGCTCTGAGCCTTCGGCTATAAGCTCCTCCCAATTGATTCTCTTAGGTATCTGTGTGGACGCTAAGTGAAACAGAAACGCCAAAAAGTAAAAAGGCTTATGCAGCATTTAGGTTGAGATCATTCTGTTTTCTCATTATATGATACTAGAAACTTATTATCTGTATAATCTCTTATCTGGTTTAGCACTATAAGTTTTAGTTATTGAAAAACAAAAGTGTGAACTCAAGTATCACAGTTAAATACAAGCAGGATATCTTTAATGTTGAAATCAATTGCAAGGGCTCTCTCTATTTGCATCTGCATAAAGGACAAATTATAATTGTAAGTTCACTCAATGTCATTAAGATATAGTAAGATACTAAGATGCATTGAAAAGAAATTAAGACATTGTGTAAACAAAACTAGCTTAAATAATATTGGGAACCAAAGATAAAAATTAAATGGTAGGGTGATATAATGACCACACAGAATAAATTATATCCAATATTTTGAAAATCTAGACCAGGGAACCAACAAGGAGCCAACAGAGAATATATATTAATTACAATAAATCTGAGGAATTAGAACATAATGGGTCAACAATATCAGTAAGCATTTGTGAAAAGATTACTAGGCAGAAGCCGTCCAGATAACTTGCATCAAAATCCAAGTCCCAGGTGTCGTGACTTAAGGCCAAATTCCAACAGATTAAAATGAGATTGTCAAGATAACTTTTGCAGGAACATTAAAATGCAACCTGCGCTTTGCCACTAGGGCCTAACTGTCTGTATCTAGGTGCAACTGGGAAAGCTGATGTCCACATATGCGAAAATTAAAAAATAGATATATATGGGCTAAAGTTTGATACAGAAAATGTACCAATTTTCTTAGCAAATACCTCAGAGCAATGTTGCATAACTTGCTCTTGTTTCTTTTTTGAACTTAGAGTGGATGATGGTCTTAGCCTGAAATTATAATGATTTGAGAAATTAGTTTAATAAACTAAATAATCAAGTATAATTTTCCATATAACCTAGAATCACCTGGCTCAAACAACTAAACACGTTTTTTAGAGTCAAGAAGAAGAATCATAATACGAAAGCTAAAACATTAGTAAACAGAAAGACTAAAACTACTTTAGTGATTCTGCAGAGACAATAACCTCAACCTCATATATGCGCAGGTTTCTTGTGCATGTAAATTTTGTCAATGTGTGCATGTGGATATGTAGACACAAATGGCATGTTTTCTGTTAGAAAACACATGCCAATTGATGTTGATACACGTATGCTTAAATATCTAAGCTGTCACTTGTTACTCAATCCTTCTTAAACCACTTCTAACATTCTCTTTACTCTTAAGTTGAAGTTGATTCACTAAATACAAAAATTCAAACAATTTGCAAAAAGAAAGAGGAAATTTAAAGGGTCTCACTAAACCTTTACACCAAAAGAAGCATAAAACATTTCTTACACTATATTCTCTGGAACATCCTTGAGTGAAAAAAGTGGCGGCAGTAGCATCATAACATCCTCTTCATCCATATCCATAAAACCATCCTTTTCTATGAGGAATCGTAAACAGAGAGATTATTAACCAAGAATGAATGATAGCAATTTTATTTCAAAGGGACTGAGGCAGGTAACATAAAGGACTTACTAAAGAATGGCTCCTCTGTTTCTGCCCAATTTCTCTTTCTTCTCCTCGCAGCATCCGCATGAACAGAAAGAACATGCTGATAGTCAACCATGCCTTTATAAAATCAAAAAAGAATACCAACTGAGCTCCTTTGGGCTACAAAGGATACATGGAAAAGCTAAACTACCTAGAAGAAGATTGCCAAAAAGGTATATGGATAAAATCAATTCTCACCATCAAAATGATAAGCTTCTGAGACTCGAGCAACAATATCAGCACAAAGGTTTGCTTTATCTGGTTCAGATATCTGTGCTTCATTTTCTTTAGCAGAGGTAACCGATTGAATTTCAGGTTGAGATGCCTGTTCTCTATTTTCTGAATTACTTGCCTCTGGTAATCTATCTGAAACTTTAGCACTCAGGTCATCACATGACTTCTTTTTAGATATTTTCAATAGCAAATTGTTACAAAGACGAAGCTCCCCAAATGCAGGATGAGAATATGGATCTTCAGGACGGAAACGAAGCTCTAGCCTGTTTGACTGTGAGCAACGAGCCTAAAAGAAAAAATCCAAGTCATAAATGATAGGCAGAACAACAAACAATAAAAAATGATAAGCAGCAGGAAGCTTTTAATAGCACAGCATATACTAACTAGCCAAGCTAAAATACAAAAGGGCTCAAGTAAATGATGACTTTTTCCTTCTACGACCATCTGGTGATCTGCATTGTAATTTGCAAAAAGTTCTAACTGAAAAACATATATTCTCCACGATGAGCTTAAATGGGGACATTAAATGCTACTCGTCCATTATACAGTTAAAATCACCTTAAGTTTACCCTGACCCTAAATTAATAAGCCCCAAGAACAGTTAGGCATTTGGCAATCGTAAAAGCTTATCCATCATTGATCAAGATCCAGATTGAGTTATCATGATTCACAATTTGGGGTAAAAGTTCTCATTTTTAGCAAAAAATGATGTCTACTTCATCAAGCAACGTGTCTTTGCTTACTCAAAGTTTGCGCAAGCTCAGTATTTGTCATGTGAAGTCTAAAGCTTGAGGAAGCACCAAAATTTGCAAAAGACCCACATGAAGACATACTCAAACAACATTCAAGACCCCAAAAAGCTCACATCTTTAACAATATTCCAGACTCAACTGGAGTAATATTGTCCATATTTTAGGAATTTACCTTGACAATCCCTTCAACTCCTCCGAGGGTCTCGATGGCCCGAGACGTCGTAGAAGGGTAGCCGGGATGGTGCACTGCGAAGGAGTCGTCGGCCGGTAACCTGCCGGAGACCTTGCCGTCTTTTATCACTCCCATAACAACCCTTGCTCCGCAACCCTTACTAAAAACCTCTCGGTATAGGTCTTGAGTTCAGCAATTTGAAGAAAACCACATAAAAAAAAGCCGCAACTGATGCTGCCATAGCGGCGACAGGGAGAGTGCAGAGAAAATCGCAATTTGATGCGATGTTCACTTGTTCAGATCAGATTTATAAAACTAAAAAAATAAAAATAAAAAAAAATTATTTTATTTTCTTGAGTATTACTAAGCATGTAAAAAGTTAAATACGCGATTTGATGCCTCAACTTTATTTTTGAACCAATTTCGGCCCTTTTTTTTTTTTCTCAGTAGTCCGGTAATTCGGTGGATTTGCTACGAAAAGCTAATTTCATTTTCCTTGTCTTCTGGTTAAATTTCATTTTATTATTGATTTAGACAATTTTTTTTTTCTTAAAATTGATGTCAAATCTATCCATCTATAAAATTAATTCTGTTTTTTTTCTTAATATTTAACATAAAAAGGGACCATATTATAACATACACTATTCCTTGTATGATTTTATAAGTTAAAATCTCATTAATTATGATATTTATAATTAATATTATATAAATTTTTATATTAAATTAACCAAAATAAAATATAAAAATTTTAATTACTCAATTAAAAATTATAAATATATGAATTTATTATGAAAGTTTTATATAAAATTAATTAAAAATATTATAAGTAACAAAATTTAATCTATCACCTGAAAAAATTTTTTTATCTAATTTTAACGTAAATGACCTCTTTTTTACAACACTAAAAATGGATTACACAACTGAATCCAACACTGACTCATTAACAACATTTGACCAATAAGGTATAGGCAAGTGGTAAATTAATTAATTTTGTTAAAAAAAAAACTAAAAATGTTACACTTATCTTGAGGAAGCATGTATTAATTAGAAGCCAGATCAATTATTAGTATTTTTTTCTTTAAAAAAGGGGTTTTTTTTTTATGTTGATTGCACAATAAGAGGTAATTTCTTTCATTTTTTATCTTACATCAACAGTATATTATACAATTTAAATTCAAAATCTCTTATTTTCAATAAAAATAGATTATCATTGAATTATCTAAATAATTTTAAAAGAAAAAAGAAAAAAAAAAAGGCATTAGATGTTCAAGTATTTGTCTTGATGCCATGCTTCTGGGAGCCCAATTATACCCACAGCAAGAGAGAGAAAAGTGGAAGTGAAAAAGCCCACGCAAATGTATAGAAAAATGAAAAAAAGATAAATTAAAAGAGTTTCCCATCCCAAAATTATTCCTTCGTAAGCGCGCCTTGGAAACTTAAAATTTGGTAGAACTCCAGTATCTTAATTTCCCTGCCACCATGTACATTTTCGGCTCCAGGCAAAACTCACAAAGACACTGAAACAATAGATGAATACTTCAGACCTATTTTAACTCAATCTTCAGCTCAATGGTGAAGGTATAAAGACCCGGTTGCTTTGTTTAATTGTTTTTGAATTGCTTCTGAATTGAACTTATTTCTAATAGCACCCCAAAAGGCTGGAATGGCAACATCATCAAGAACTCCTTTGAATGATGGGTGGTAGTTCACATCAACAATGACATGGTTGTAAAATTTTTAATACATAAATTTAACACAATTAGATTCTAAACTCTATACTTAAATAATTAAATAATAAAATCACATATCATCATTGGAAGCCATTGATCTATATACCTTCAAAAGAAACAAATAGAAAGAGTTAAAATGCTAAATCTTCCTCTCCTTATTCAACTTCTGTATAGTGACAACTAATGGGTCATGTTGCTCCCTAACTTTACTATTTATAGAGGTAGGGTTTTATGAACGAGAGAGAAAACCTAGCCCTATTATAATAATATTTTGGGCACCCCTCATCAAGTAAGCCATCTTTTAGGTTCTACACCCATTCATATCACACTATATAAAACTGAGATAAAATCTAGACTCATTTGGATCACATAACTTTATTGGGCTTTATCGATTTTTTCCATTTGACCCATTTTAAGAAAAACTAAAATACAATTAGCAATAGCCCACATAAAATTTCTAACAATGGTCACCAGAGCCATCTTAAATCTGAATGAATGTAAGGGAGAAAACAAGGTATAAAGTTTTGTTTTTCTTTAAATTTGAGAAGCATTGGCCCAACTTGGTGATACATATGGGTATGGCTTAACGAAGTAAAATATGTAGACTATGTGAGTTACTTACAACAACATCAAACCCTAAGATGGTTAGATCAAGTGTCCTTGAAAGCCACCTTGTAGCCCCAGTGATGGGTCCAAGATCAATATGCTGATTCTAGTCTTTAGAATGTTGGTTTCCAGTATCAATAGATAGAGATTTTAAGTTGTGAAGAGATCATTTAGAGGAATTTCATTAGA